GCACACCCCTCTCGAGGATCGTGGCCCTGGCCACAGGGAGCTCCACCGAAACTCCATTTTGGCACACCCCTCTCGAGGATCGTGGCCCTGGCCCCACAGGAAGCCCCACCGAAGCTTCATTTCGGCACACCTCTCTCGAGGATCGTGGCCCTGGCCCCACAGGGAGCCCTTCCGAATCATCCTTTTCGGCACACCCCTCTCGAGGATGGTGGCCCTGGCCCCACAGGGGGTCCCACCGAAACTTTATTTTGGAACACCCCTCTCGAGGATCGTGGCCCTGGTCCCACAGGGAGCTCCACCGAAGCTTCATTTCGGCACACCTCTATCGAAGATCGTGGCCCTGGCCCCACAGGGTGTTCCACAGGTCGTGTATGCTGTGTATAGGACCCCATACAGGGCGTGCAGGCTGTAACTCGTAGAGCTTCCCTTAGCAAGTTCTTGCTGGAAGCTTAAGAGTAATTCCCGGGCGCTGGAGAGCTAGTTGGCAAGAAAAATCTCGACGGAACTTTTGCTGACTTTTGCTCGGTTGAAAATTTTGTTCTCGAAATGCAACCATTCGTTTGAGTTCTAGTAATTTTTTCCCGTGATATGCGATCTTATTCCCGCTCGCCATCTTAATCTCAGCTCGATCGGGTAGATACTACTGCCAAAAAGCACACGGGCGGGATCGGACATTTGGGGTCATCTTGACACGTGTCGTCGGTTGTTCTGTACTTAACTCGGGCTGTAGGATAGCTACAGAGCTGATGCTGACAGAAAACGATTCAGAATCATCAGGCGCGTTCGCCTGTTGCATCCAGAGGTCTGAACTCGGTCTGCTGCCCGAGCTAGGTCCGCGAAACTATTCGTATTGTCCGAGTCATTTTCAGAGGTGCTGTCGGTTTTCTGAACTTAACTCGGGCTGTAGGGGGGCTACAGGGCTGGTAGTTGCAGATACCGATTCGGAGACATCAGGCGCGTCTGTCTGTCGCATGGAGAGGTCTGAACTCGGTTTGCTACTCGAGCTAGGTCCGCAAAGCTATTCGTATCGCTCGGGTCATCTCGTCAGGGACCGTTTTCTGTACTTAACTCGAGCTCTAGGGGCGCTGCAGAGCTGATACGCACAGAAACCAATACAGAATAATCAGGCGCGCTCGTCTGTTGCATCCAGAGGTCCGAACTCGGTCTGCTACTCGAGCTAGGTCCGCGAAGCTATTCGTATTGTTCGAGTCGCCTTGAGAGATGCTGTCGGTTTTCGCACGTAACTCGGGCTGTAGGAGAGCTAGAGAGCTCATACGCACAGAAACTGATTCGGTATCATCAGGCGCGTTCGTCTGTTGCATCCAGAGGTCTGAACTTGGTTTGCTACTCAGGCTATCAGCGCTCGGGCTGAAAAGCTATCAATTCTCTGCCGATTCTTTGGACATAATATATGGTCAGGAAGCTCTACGAGTCCCCCGGCGGTAAGAAAGGTTGACGGTTTACCGCCGGCGCCCAGTGAATAGGATCACATACAGGCCGTGTAGGGTCTGTATAGGATCCCATACAGGCCGTGTAGGGTATGTGTAGGATCCCACACAGGCCGTGTAGGTTTTGTATAGGATCCCACACAGCCCGTGTAGGCCCCGGATAGGATCCCATACAGGGCGTGTAGTCTCTGTATCGGACCCCAGGCAGGGCGTGTAGGCTCTGTATAGGATCCCATACAGGCCGTGTAGGTTCTGTATAGGGTCCCATACAGCAAGCCCGGTATCGGATCCCGCACAGGCCGTGCAGGCTCTGTATAGGATCCCAAGCTGGCCGCGCATGCTCTGTATAGGATCCCACGCAGGGCGTGTAGGCTCCGCATAGGATCCCGTACAGGCCGTGCAGGCTCTGCATAGGATCCCACACAGGCCGTGTAGGCTCTGTATAGCATCCCATACAGGGCGTGTAGGCTCTGTGTACGATCCCATACAGGCCGTGTTGGCTTTCTATGGGATCCCACACAGGGCTAGCAGGCCTTGTATAGGATCCCATACAGGGCGTGCAGGCTCTGTATAGGATCCCACACAGGCCGTACAGGGCGTGCAGGCTCTGTATAGGATCCCACACAGGCCGTGTAGTCTCTGTATCGGACCCCAGGCAGGGCGTGTAGGCCCCGTATAGGTCTCATACAGGCCGTCTAGGCGCTGTATAGGATCCCGCACAGGCCGTGTAGGTTTTGTATAGGATCCCATACAGGCCGTGTATGCTGTGTCTAGGATTCCACACAAGGCGCGCAGGCTCTGTATAGGATCCCTAACAGAGCGTGTAGGTTCTGTATCGGACCCCAGACAGGGCGTGCAGGCTCTCTATAGGATCCCGAACAAGCCGTGCAGGCTCTGTTCTGGATCCCGCACAGGCCGTGTAGGTTTTGTATAGGATCCCATACAGGCCGTGCAGGCTCTGCATAGGATCCCGTACAGGCCGTGCAGGCTCTGTATAGGATCACACACAGGCCGTGCAGGCCTTGTATAGGATCCCATACAGGGCGTGCAGACTCCGTGTAGGATCCCATACAGGCCGTGTAGGCTCTCTTCAGGATCCCATACTTCTAGGCCCTGTATAGGATCCCACACAGGCCGTACAGGGCGTGCAGGCTCTGTATAGGATCCCACACAGGCCGTGTAGGCTCTGTATCGGACCCCAGGCAGGGCGTGTAGGCCCCGTATAGGTCTCATACAGGCCGTCTAGGCGCTGTGTAGGATCCCGCACAGGCCGTGTAGGTTTTGTATAGGACCCCATACAGGCCGTGTATGCTGTGTCTAGGATTCCACACAAGGCGCGCAGGCTCTGTATAGGATCCCTAAAAGAGCGTGTAGGTTCTGTATCGGACCCCAGACAGGGCGTGCAAGCTTTCTATAGGATCCCGAACAAGCCGTGCAGGCTCTGTTCTGGATCCCGCACAGGCCGTGTAGGTTTTGTATAGGATCCCATACAGGCCGTGCAGGCTCTGCATAGGATCCCGTACAGGCCGTGCAGGCTCTGTATAGGATCACACACAGGCCGTGCAGGCCTTGTATAGGATCCCATACAGGGCGTGCAGACTCCGTGTAGGATCCCATACAGGCCGTGTAGGCTCTCTTCAGGATCCCATACTTCTAGGCCCTGTATAGGATCCCATACAGGGCCTGTAGGCTCTGTATATGATCCCACACACGCCGTGCAGGCTCTGTATAAGATCCCGCACAAGCCGTGCAGGCTCTGTATGGGATTCCATACAGGGAATGCAGGCTCTGTCTAGAACCTTAGGAATCCCCAGAGATTCCCTAGGGATTCCCCAGGGATTCTTAGGATTCCGCGAAGGATGCCCGAAGGTCGCTTCGCCGGTGCGCACATCGTTTTCTGTCGCAGGTTGTTGTTGTTGCTGCTGCTGTTGTTGTTGTGGTGTTGTTGTTGAACATTATTATTTCTAAAGAATAATTATTGTTGGGACCCCTGGTGCACGGCAGCCTCGCCGCGCCTAGGCCGCAGCCACATTTTCATCATTTTCGTGAGGAAGTCTCAGGTAAAACGATGTGATCCAGATCCGGTTGTGTTGTTACGATCGGTTTTCCCTTGCAAAAAATAAGCTAAAGTGGACATTTCTTGTTCTAACATAACCAAACTTCAAGAATCCCTTGCAAAAAATAAGGTAAAGTGGACATTCGCGCGCGCAAGACGAAATCCGTCCAAAACCTTAGTTTTCGTAGCGATTTTAACATAAAAACATCAAAACACCAATGGTTTTACAAAAAAAAAAAAAAAAAAAAAAATGTCAAAATTTCATCCCGCGCGCTCTTGCGGATTCGTAGGAAACCCAACACTTTTTAATCATTTCTGTCAAACGGGCTTTTGCGAGCAACTTTTTCGAACTTCTGCAACAACGGTTGCGCACCTGCCAGGGCCATCATCCCTGTCAAATAATACCATGCGGGACACATTCGTTTTTTCTTCGCGCGCGCACGCCGTCGTCGTCGGCCGCGGGGCCCTGAATAGTAGCCACGGTCGTCCGCATGCCACGAAGTGAAGTGTCCGAACGTCATAGGGCGGGAAGCTGGGTGTGGGTGGTGGCGAAGAGTCGTTTGGAAATTTGGTAGAGCTTGAACCGGCCCCCCCACAAAGTGGGGGTATTGCCCGCCTCCTATGAAAACCCTGGCACTGGTGAGAACGGTGTGTCCCCACGTGCTAGTAATTGTTGTTGTTGTTGCTGTTGTTGCTGTTGTTGCTGTTGTTGCTGTTGTTGTTGCTATTGTTGTTGTTGCTGTTGTTGTTGTTGTCGTTGTCCCCCCCGCGACCCACCCGCGACCCACCCCGCGACCCACCTGCGACCCACCCCGCGACACACCCCGCGACCCACCCCGCGACCCACCCGCGACCCAACCCGCGACCCACCCGCGACCCACCCCGCAACCCACCCGCGACCCACCTGCCACCCACCCGCGACCCACCCCGCGACCCACCCGCGACCCACCCCGCGATCCATCCGCGACCCACCCGCCACCCACCCGCCCCACTTGCGACCCACCCGCGACCCACCCCGCGACCCACACGCGACCCACCCGCGACTGATCCGCATTGGTTTGAAGAAAACATCGGCGCCTGCGGCGGGCTCGTTGCATAATTTGTAAAACTTTGGCGCCTGCGGCGGGCTTCTCCAGAGTCTCGCAGACTGCCGACTTCCCCACCGCCCCCTCACTCTTATCCGCATCTGCGGGGTGCTACATATTCCAGTTTGGCGGACTCTTCTGGGTGGCCGGCGGGTTAGGCCAGAGGCCACTGGGAACCTTGTGCAGGGGCCTTAAGTATTGAGCCTCATCGCGCCAACCACCTCTGAGCAGGCTGCGGAGTTGGCGGATCTAGCCGTCGGCCCATCCCGCCACCGTGCCTGGGTTGTGTAGGCCTCTTGGGATCTCTTGGGAGGTGCCCTGGGGACATCTTGGAGGCCTCTTGAAGCCTCCTGCTGGACTCTTGTTGGCCTCTTGGGAGCCTTCGGACACCCCACTCAGTGCCTACGGCAGGGTGGCGGATTTCTTAGACAAGGGGTGGGGCTTCGTCACCTCGGACGAGACGACGAAGATCTTCGGCAAGGACATCTTCATCCACCGGCGAGAGATCCCCGAGAACCTCTATCCCGATAAGGGCCTTCAGGTCTCGAGGACCCGACAAACTGCAGAGACACGCGCGCCTGGACGTCCGCGCGGAGTGCTCCGAGTCGGCGCCAGACCCCCTCTGCCCTCTCCGCAGCGGCTCCTGCTTCCTGTGTGAGGGGCGACGACAGGGGGGGGGGGGGGGAATGGCACAGGGGGGAGACATCGACACGGAATCGGCGATACGTCGCCGATAGATCGGCGACAGGACTCCGATACAGTGGAGGCCTGCCCGCAAGAAACCTCCCACAAGAAACCCAACCCCTGAGACCCCAGGGCGTCCATGGATTTTCGGCGTGGGAACGTCGCAGTTTCCACCGCAAAAGCATCGGAAGCCCTCAACCCTTCTCTGGCGCGCCACCGAGCGCGCTGCTCGGTTGCGCGTAAGCGTGACCCTTCGCTGGAGTGGCCACGTGATGCAGGCCCGCAGGCTCGGAGTCGGCCCCTCCTCCTCCTCCTCCTCCTCCTCCTCTTCCCTCCTCCTCCTCCTCCTCCTCCTCCTCCTCCATGTCCTCCTCCTCCTCCCCCCTCCTCCATGTCCTCCTCCTCCTCCCCCCTCCTCCTCCTCCTCCTCCTCCTCCTCCTCCTCCTCCTCCTCCTCCTCCACCCCCCGCCCGTGCGGCCCCCGAAGGCCGGTCACCACAGCTCACTCTTGCCCAGGGGCCGCTGGCTGCGCGTCTCCGAGCCAGGGGCGGCGCCGGAGGTGCCGCCAGGGGTTCGGGTCATGGGGGGATAGGCATACTCCAAAGCCCTTCTTAATCGTCCCCCGGGGTTGGTTTTTCAAGGCGCCTGTTTTGTAACTGGGGGGTCCGGTTTAGTAGGGCGCGCGCTTTGGATCGGAGTTTAGGGGGTCCGGTTTAGTACGGCGGCGCCTCGTCGAAGAGGGGGTCCGGAATATTAGGTCGCATTTGCAGGGGGGTCAGGTTTTTACGGGGGGGGGGGGGGGGCGATTAAGAAGGGATGTTGGGGGGGGATGCATGAATTCGCCCATTGATCGTCGATAGGAGCCCGATGGCCCCAACCTGCCCAGGAGGGTGCGGATTCGCTATCGGAGGCCTGTCGCCGATCTGTCGGCGATGTATGTATCGCCGAGTCCAGGTCAATGCATCCCCCCCTGTGCCAGTCCCCCCCTATCGTTGCCCCTCAGCGGGGAGGGGGGTCGGGCGCCGACCCGAGGGCTCTGCGCGCGCCTCCGCAAGTTTGCGCTGCTGTTTTGCAGGCAGCCTGCCGGAAAGACAGCCGTCGGAGTTGGTGCATGCCTAGAGGAGCAGGGTTTTCTTGCTCCTCATCCTCCTCCTCCTCCTCCTCCTCCTCCTCCTCCTCCTCCTCCTCCTCCTCCTCCTCCTCCTCCTCCTCCTCCTCCTCCTCCTCCTCCTCCTCCTCCTCCTCCTCCTCCTCCTCCTCCTCCTCCTCCTCCTCCTCCTCCTCCTCTCTTCCTCCTCGGCCAGCCAGGAGGGAAGGGAGGGTCCAGACCCCCCCCTCGCGGACGTCAGAGGTCCATGCTTCGAGGATAAGGGAGCGAGGATGGGGAGCAAGGGTCAGATCGCCCGTAGTATCGAGCATGCGGAGAACGCTTAATTACGCGGTCGTGCCCCGTATCTTCCAAACCCCTTCCTCCCAGCACGACAATTGGCTTGCTCACACAGTCGTGCCTTGCATCTTCCGAGCCCTTTCCTCCCAGCACGATGGTTGTCTTTCTCGGTCTGCTCTTCCGAGGTTTCCTTCTCCGTGCAGCTGAACAGCACGGGGCGGCCCGAGGTCTCGGGGGGGGGGGCGTTGGCTGCACCGCTGCACCGATCCTGGCCAGGGCGGCTTACAGTGGGGGCCCGTGCCAAGAAACATCTTGCTCGCCTCAAGGGTGCCCTGGGCGTCTTCGGTTTCGATGGTTTTGCGATGTATGGCGTGGCGCTCCCACGCCAAAAGTCCATGGACGTCCTGGGGTCTCAGGGTCGGGTGTCTTGTGGATGGTTTCTCGTGGACTGGCCTCCACTGTAGTAGTGGGCCCAGGATCTGCGCGTGCACGCCCTCCTGCTGAGGCCAGGTCGGGCGGCTGCACGGATCGTGGGCCCAGGATGGGCCTGACCAGGATGTGCGGTCGGGAACTTGCGTGCTCAGCGAGTCGCGCCGCTGGCTCTGGCCCGCCACACGTCGGAGCGGCACGCGGACCACGTTCCGGTCCCCGAGCGTGAACGTGCCGAGCTCCCAGCTGCCCTTCCCGCGGAGCGGCTTCTACACGCCATGCGATCGAAAGGTACAGCGTGCCGTCGGGGCCGCCGCCGCCACGCGCCAGGCACGCGTTTCAATCCGCGGCGCCATTTGTCTCGACCGCTTCCTTGGGGCGTTTCGTTCGCCCTGGACCGAGTGTTGATGGCCGCGGGGCCCGACGGCGGGCCCTCGAGGCCGAAGTCGAGGAACGACGACCAGGTCGAAGCAATCGTACCGTCGGAGATGTGGGCAGGTGTCTGTGTGTAGGTGCCTCTTGGATTCGTCCTCCGTGGCCGCCCTCTTCTTTCCCTTCACGTCTGTTCGTGCTCGCAGCCCCTGCGCGGCGAGTGCTGCTGTCGATCCCCTCTGGGTAGGTCCAGCGTCTCCACACCGCGCGAGCTGGGCCGGACCGCGAGCTCGCCTGGCCTGGCCTGAGCCGCGCCGCCGCGCGCGTGGCCGCGACGCCTAGACTGTGTAGGCGGCACCCTCCTGCGAGGAGGAGGAGGAGGAGGAGGAGGAAGAGGAGGAGGAGAAGGAGGAGGAGGAGGAGGA